CCCTGGTTCACAAAATTTGAATTCGAGAAATTTTTTTCATTATTCTACATTATAAGTACCCAAAGAAACTATATACATCAAAAACTGGATACTAATAGCTGTTTTACGAAATTGAGAGCAATTTCGAATCTGTTCAGTTTTTTTTATACACCCTGTATGTATCTTACACAATACGGCCGCGAATGTTTTTTGTATGCTTGTGATTCATCTTGATGAAGACTCCTTTTCTGAATCTAGAAATGTACTTTTGACATCCAGTCCTTTTACTTTTTGCTAGTTACCGCTTTTGTAAATCATCGTGGAAATAGTATGGGTCTCAGTTCCATTCTTATTGCAATCCCATGCTGTGGATACAGTATAGGAATATTGTGAATATACAATTATGGATTTAGTGATATAAATATATGATTTCCATAGAGTCATTGATTTCAATGTTATTTTGCAGTGCTCATGCAAGTACAGTAACGAAGTACTTCTATTTGGAGTTCTGCGTTTGAATTCAGTAATTTTGAGTGCTTTTGTTGCAGGAGATTTTGTCAGTGAAATTTTTTTCGATATCTACACGTGTTATCTCTTGTAATTCCAGGTGTCACCTGAGCCGTTATTAACACTGTACGGACACAAAGCTAGAGTCTGGGATTGTCTTATCTTAAAGCAACATATTGTCAGTATAGGTGAAGACTCCATGTGCTTGCTTTGGAATTCTGATGGAGAAATAATTCGATCATGGAAAGGACACATTGGTAAGTAAATATTAACTTATTAGTAATAGCATGGTTTCGAGTGCAATTTGGATATAACATGCACGATAACATACACTCGTGAGTTTTTCAAAGACCTCAATTCTCAAATAGCATGAGTGCAAGTTTATCCAAATTTCATGAGACACCATGCAATTACTTATAATGATTTACATATAATTATTCGAGACAATCAAACTTGAACTTGACCAAGTGTGGGAATCTTTCCGCACCACTAAATGCGGTCATGTTTGATTTGAAAAAAGAATCATAGTGATTGCAGAAAATTGCACTGTGAATATAGAAAATTCCACTGTGATACAGAAAATTGCACTGTGATTACAGATTTTTGCACTGCTGTTTGGTATAAACTGCACTGAAATCAAGTAATATACTTTTATGTATGAAGAAATTGTTGAGAGGAAAATGTAAGAGAAAAATGTTGAGCAATTATTTCCATGTTAATTATAATGCATCTTGCATATTTTAGTGTACAAGCATTGGAATCATATTTAGGTTACTACATTACTTATGAGTTATATAATATTATGCTGTCATTTCCTAAACAAGATGGCGGATGACAGAATATATATTTGGTTGACAGTCCAGAACAACGCTACGAACAACAACAAAAACAGCAACAACTACTACTGCATGATGTTATTACTACATGATGCTACTACTAATAACTAGTCAGATTTCACCACTCTTTGTAATGCGTTCGAGGATGTGACTCCATAGTAGTATAACATAGACATAGACATAGACATATAGGCAAACTCTATCTTAAGATTTAAAGTTTGTTCGTTCACTGCAACCAGGTATATCAATCATGTTTCGCTCGCTACTCTGGTTTAAATATATGATTACAAAGCCCAGTCGAATTGTAATCAAGACCCAACGTTTCGACACTCCAGTTTAGTGTTTTCATCAGGGGTGATCTAAAGATGCAATCGTGGCTTCTTAAATACCCAAGGGATGACGTCACCTGCCAATGAGATACATGTATTCCTCTGGAAAATAGGCACCGTCATCCTTATTCAACGCATGATTACTCATATTTATATGCCACGCTTCTAGGCAAAGTGCCATAGCGATTGTTTGTGGTAATTACTTTAGAGTTTCCCCAGTTGAGAGGTTTTCTTGCTAATTTGTCTTAATGTTCTTTGGAGATCGAGCAATATTTTTTCTTAGGCATGTTTTGCTGAAACATGACTGCTGATGAAGAGTATAAACTTTAAATTATCCCTTGCCGTGTTGAAGAGCAGCTTGTCTCATTCTTTTATTTTGTAACAGGTAAAAGCATCTGGTCTTTGGCTTGTCGATCGGATGAGCACATGATTGCAACAGGCGGTGGGGACAGCGCTATCCGTCTTTGGCTAGTTAAGAATGAGATTGAAAATACAAAAGAAGAACAACATTTGCTTTCATCTATTCCCTCACAACAGGAAATAACTCCACAAATAGGAGAACAGATACCTCGTATGATTGGACTACTTCATGACACTAGTGTCCTTGTGATGACGGATAAAGGGTAAGTAATTAAATGTAATAATTTTACGGCAACTGCAGGTACAATGTCAGATATGTTTCGCTACTCTGGTTTAAGGTGGCCCTCTACCGTTATTTTACAACAAGATTGGTCAACGTCATTTTTCCTTCGTCGAAGGAAATACCATAACAAAACAAAACACTTAATGTATGTTCCGTCAGGAAGTAGTTGTGTTTTCCCTCGATTCTCAATATTTCCCAAACTAGCTATTTTCCTCGGGAGCAGACATTAGGTGTATGATATCCACAAGACTGCCTGTTCTTATTTGTGTAAACAGACGTGTCACTGACTTTTTTAATTTTCAGGAACTTATACCGTTTCCAGTGGTACCAGAATGAATCTGATGCTTCTGGAAAATGGAGTCTTATTCGGCATGAACCAGAATACTCATCCTACAGTATAATGGCACTGTCGGATTGTCGAACAATCGTTGCCTTGGGTAACATCAGTGGCAGTATAAAACTCGTTTCTTTAACGGGTACGTATAGTTCTTAATGTACAGTACGTATGTGTTTTTACAGTACATGTTCTGTACGTTTGTGTTTTTACATGTATGTTCCGTTTTCTTTAAATCATAATAATGTTGTCTTCGCTCTGAACAACTTTCCACTTAGGATGCACCCACAGTATATCCAATCTTTTAAGTTTCCAGTTGATTGTAAAATTAGTAGAGATGTGCCGATTTGAAGGCCGATAATGCCACTAATATTTCATAACTAAGTTATTTTTCCCCTTTTTGCTTATATTTTAGACAGAAGGGACCTACATATATTACTGGAGGGGCAACATGGGGGCTACGTGCAGAACGTGTATGGCGACCAGGTTATATGTTAAAAAGCGCCCCTCAATATTGCGTTTCCCAAACGAAGTTTTACATCGCTTCGTATTCGCTGTATGAGAGTTTATTAGTCTGTTTGTTCGGAATCGTAAGCCTTGCTATTTATTCAAAAATATCTTCGCGCTTGTAGTGCACTTGTTTTGCGCATGCTTTAGAGCACCGTATTGTAGTACTGGTTACAATATTTTTATTCTGTTCATTGTTTTGTGTCTAGATATCGCATGGCGTTCACTTGAGAACAAACCTTACGCGGACAAAGTTCTTAGTCTTCACTGGTTAAAAGGCGAACATGACAGTTTCTTCAATTTGTTTTCATGTGGACTGGAAGGCTTAGTTATATGGTGGACGGTTCAATGCCTTAAAACTAGTCAAAGTTTTAGCTGCGAAGTAAAGGCAAACTTTCGTTTACCGTATTGCCGGCAGAGATGGCCAAACTCTGTATACTTAGTCACTCGTGATATTATCTGCACTGAACCGAATGCATCGCTTGTGCTGTGTGGCGATCGTAGAGGTTCACTGCATGTTTTTAAAGATATTGCAGAAAATGAGGTAAGAAATTTAGCAGGGATGGATCCAACTTGAGCTTAATGGGTGGTAATGTGCGGTTAGTGTATCATGGAGCGAGGGATGTATCGTCATTGACACTATGGTAGTTGCAGTATTGCAACCACGGGCTTTACGACCAATTCAATAGTAATTTGACAACAATAGTATTCTATCTAAATAGCAGTTAAAATAAAGTGTACGGCACGTGAACTATTCAGTATCTTGCTTGACAGTGCTTCTAAATCCATAAATACATTTCCATATTATGCAAGTACTGTATATTTTCAAAATCCGCCATATTTATTTACATTAGAACCCAAGCACAGCAAGCTTTGGCGGCTTACGTCCGTGATTTGCACTGATAATAGGAGGGTAAGATCGTCCAATTATTTCATTGTTCGAAGTGAGGAAACGATACTTCCTTATATGGCACAAACGTGTCCCCAACTTCCTTATAGGTGATCGCTAGATAGTATACTTCAAAATAATATTTCCGTTTTTATAACATAGAAAGAAGTATCCTAACGCAAAACTAAACCCTAACCTAAACCTAAACCCTAACCTAATCCCAACTTATTTTAAAAATTGATATAAAAAGCTAGCAGCAAGAAACAGTAGTATTTAATTAGATGCATTGTTACGACATTAAATCTACAGTTGCAGTAAAAGTATCTTGATGAATGATGGTAGGCTTACACAAAATCACTACCAGAAAGACTTTGATAAAAGCTGTTTATTTTCAGCCAGTAGATCCAGTACAATCTCTAATTGGTATCCATGGTCGAAATGGTGTGACCTCCATATGTAGCAACTCAGGGTATATTTATACCACTGGAAGAGATGGCTATATTAGACAATATAAGTTGTCTGGTGAAAACCTGGAACTCCTGGACAAGAAAAAGGTTCGAAATAGTGCTGACGTATTGTATTTTCCCGCGCGTTAATTTATTTTCACAAATTTGCCGTCATAATTAAGCTTACATGCAAATACTGAGTTTTTTCTTCCATTGAAATACGTACTAGTCACAGGTGTTATATATGAACAAGCTTTCGTTGGTTGGGGTGCAACTACCTGAAAATATATAAGGAGAATTTCGACGTTTCGAGCGAAGCCCTTCATCTGGAGTTGGGCCTTCGCTCAAAACTTCGAAATTCTCCTTATATATTTTCAGGTAGTTGAATCCCTACCAACGAAAGCTTGTTTATTTTATTGCCACTACCTACACTAGCAAAGACAGTTCAAGATATATGTTTGTCTTTTGCCTTTGAGAAAACTGAAAAACAGACATATAGATTTAGCGAACGATGTCAATTCATAAATAAGTCATAATAAGTCGGGCTCGCTGTGGCTATTTATTGCTTTATGAATTGCACATCTTCTTGAATTAGTGTATAATTATAGAACGTTTCAACGTTTAAGACCGCCTTAATTGATCTCAATTGGTTATTCACTAGCAAATTTAGGCAGGAAGTGAGGCCATTGATATCAAATTGATGCTACAATATATTCTGCTCACCTCTGTAAGACAGAAAATGACTGTGAAAATCTCTTCTTCTTGCCAACAACACCACTGTAGATTCGTATGTGTGTGTGTGTGGTGTGGGTCGTAATATGGCCGCCATTTCTTTCATTTATACATATGGTAGCAGTGAAATGCTTATTTATTTTAGGTTTACAAGGGGATGGAATGGATTGATTGGGTTAATTTTACATCTGGTGGAGAAATTTTAGTCCTCGGATTTCACACGGTAGGTGATGCTGGTCGCAATTGCATAAAGCTAAAAGCTTAACTAAACAAACTTTGTTTATACTTGATAGCTTATCGATGTTAGCTTTCAACTGTTCCCGAAAAAAAGTAGAGCTAAGTAACTGATTAAACCCAGATGAGCGCATAGAAAAAATCCAAAGGTCTCCCAAAGCCTTCTTCTCCCACTTCACAGTAAGGAAACACATTTATGCTGATCAGCTGATTAATTTTCCTGGCATGCCGAGAATGTACTGCGTTTGAGCAAAGGTGTTAGGGTTTTCTTTTCCCACCAAAATGTTTATGGCCGAAATAAGTTTGCTCATAGTACATGCATGTAGCTATATCACAAGAATGTTTTCATTCATGCTCAGGTTGATTTCATTATTTGGAGTATGACACGAAATGAAGTTTTGTTTCGTATACCTTGTGGAGGCGGCCATCGCAACTGGGATATCTTGTATACTACGGTATGTGTTGTTAGTCCTACTTTCACTTGTGTGTTTGTTTATTTGTTTGTTTGTCATAAAATATTCCAACCGGAAAAGTCGTTGTACTAATTATATGTCCTATTTGGAATTCCCGAAATTTCTGGAATCCTGTGTTTTCAAATTGTTTATGAACGGGCTTTTGCTTGGTTGGTCATTGCAATAAAAGGCAATAAACTATAGAAACATATTTTAAAGAACGATTCATAAACAGTGATCACTTCACAAAACATGATCATTTTATAGGTTGGTAATTACCCGAATTGTTTTGGGATACAATTTGTTTTGGGACATATTATATCAGACAGCTTCCTGTTTTAGCCAAAGCAAATGAAAATGCAATCTAGCTTTCTATATTAACAAATCAAATGTAAATATGCATGCACTACAAACACACAGTATATACAAAAAAGGGGTAAATTAAAGGGGTATGGCAATCAAAATTTAGTTTATCTCATTTGTAAGAACTTTTGCATTTACATAGGAAATTTATTTCAGTTTCCTCAAATGTTGTTTAGTTGATCGAAATCATCATAAATCAGTGAGCTGTCTGCCGTCTTGGATTATTATGGATGTGATTGTTACGTCACAAGCATGGTCGTGCGCAAATATTTTATTCAGATATGCAATGGTTATTATGAGCCCAAATTAAAATTTTACGTCGGTCACTATTTCAAATAGCCATTTGTCTGAGAATCTATACTAAAATATTTTAATTTTTTAAGAATCTATACTAAAATATTCTTTGGTTGCATAGGAGCAAGTTTATATAGCTAACTCATTGAAATGAATATAACGCTACCTTCAGATAAACTGCCTATCTTTTTCTTGAAGCCAAACCTTGACCCCCAGACACGCGTGTTAATCTCAGACACGCGTGTTAATTGACTGATTGAGCGCTTTTCGCATGCGTGAAAAGACTGGGACTGGCCTTCAAGTTTGGCTTCGAATTTCCGGTTGGAGGTAGCGTTCCAGTTATTCTCATTTCAATGGGCTAACCCTACTTTTGACGTCACCAAAACCACATCGTTAATGGATGAAAATTCATCCAAGATGGTGGACGGCTCATTGTTTTCAGGAAATATATTTCAAAAACTATAAACAAGATATGAAAAATCGGTACAGGGGTTTTATATATAATTTTAAAAGTTCTATATCAAATGAGACAAACTTAATTTTAATTCCCATATCCCTTTAAATACTTCATTCTGATTGGTGGTATAAAAATATGATTTGTTCAACAATCTTAAAAATTTCCTAAAAATTCTTAAATATTTCTGCCACAATATATTCTTTTTAACAATTAGACAACGAAGCCGAGTTGTCTATGAGCGAATAGTCAACGAGGCGAAGCCGAGTTGACTATTTGCTCAGAGACAACGAGGCTGAGTTGTCTAATTGTTTTAGTATAAACCACATAAAGAAAACGGAATTTTTCACTTGATTTTTATTAAAATTTAATCGTGTACATAGATCAATAGTTTAGATTAAAAAGGTTCGAAAAAGCGAAAAACAAACTCGGCCAAAATCTCAACATTTAAGCGGAAAAAAACTCTTTAAAATGATAGCTAAATACATGAAATCGTACTTAAAACAAGTACACACTAAAGAGGTTGAGAAAGTAGGGGTAGGCTAAGTAGCTACAAACTATTGTTGAATTTCAACGTTTCTGCTTGGAATATTAACAAACATTGTGCTGAAAAAATCGCTTGTCACTTCCATGTTCAAAATTACAAGCAAAATTGAGAAAACTTAAAAATTTTACCTATACATTGTATGTGTGAGCAGTTTCCAAGAGCCTTTGATTGTGTGTAATCCAGAACAAAAATTAGGCCATTTTGATAATCTTTTTCCCTTTAAATGCAGCTTTTAATACTTTAAAACGGCCATTGACTCTCGCGCCTTTCGCCGCTTGTTGCTACTAGTAGGCTATCACTAATAGCCTACTAGTAGCGTAGCCAATCAGAACGCACGATATATGATAGCCTACTAGTAGGTTTATACTAATTAACAATATTCACTGTTACTACTTCTGTAGACAAATCATGGTCTCATATTTACGTATCTTAAACAATCCACAGTACACGTGCATACCTGGGCAGAAGCTAAGAAACAATCACCTTCCATCATTCAGGTGTGTATGTTGCCGGCAGACAAACATTTCCGTGGCAGGGGGTTTTCCTGAGTTCTCATTTCAAGGGTTTCAAGCAGTTTCCGACCTCGAAATAGGCCTTTCACCATTTTGTTTGCACCCCTTGCAAATTTACCTATAGGGAATTCCATTGTGTTTGCACCCCTTGTACTATTGTGGTTCATTATGGCGTCTTTAACCTTGGAAGGGTCAGTGGCGTAACGCAACCGCTGGGGGCCCTCCGTCAATCGGCCACTTTGGGCCCCCTTTGCTCCACTAAAAATAGGCTCCAAAAATTTTTCTGGCGAGTGGTGTACCACTTTTCGGTCAGTGTACCATTTTAGGGGTCCAAAATGTTTTCCGGACATTGAGATTGGGATTAAATTATTCTAGTATATCGTTCTTTTCCTCAGTCGCGACGTACTTAATCCGTCTCAGCTTCAGCAATGCCCCCCCCCAATTTCTCCACGGATTTAGCCTTTTCCAGAGTATGGTTTGTTTTTAATTCAATTCAATTCAATGAATTCAATTCCCCAGAAATGTGCTATCAAATTTTTTCTGGTCATTTTTGTCGGGGGCCCCTAGGGGCCCCCCGTCACTGGACACCCTGACACCCTCCCGTTACGCCACTGGGAAGGGTGTATTAGCTGCATTGCATGGGGAGGAGCCACTTGGATAGAATGTAAAGGTATTAATGAACCTCTGCGGATAAGAGAGCTGCGCTTTCAAATAAACGCCGCATTTGAGCAAGACATTGCCATGCTGATTTTTTAGGAGCGAAACTAAAGCAATGCAATGTTATTCAGGAACCAACGATATTAAATTAGTAAATACTATTATTAATAACTTTTAACAAATACAAAATGTACAATGTAGTTTTAAATTGTGTCACATATCTATAATAAATACGGGGAAAAGTTCAAATGTTCAAATCAATAGTTATGAATGAACTATGTCTTTGAGAAGTATCTTCACAATGCGTTTTGTTCTCAGTTGTTGATTGTTTCATTTCGTTATTTTGATCATTTCTTTCTTGCCTTTTGAAACAACAGCAGAACAGAGAAAGAAGTCGTCGATGAAATTTCTTGGAATTTGTTTTCTCGACTTTCTCATCTTTCGAACGTTTCTCTTTCTTGTGAACTTTCGCTTTTTGCTTTCCTTTGTTTTTCTTTTTCGGTTTACATTTACCATTTTCTTGCTGATCTTCGTTCTTGGGCATACTGCTACCAATAACAACAGTTTTATCATCTAATAAAGGAAATAAATGAGTCGATGTGTATTTTCGGTTCAAATTGTGGTTAGTATAATTTGGTCAATCTATTACAACAAACTTCAAATAGTAGTGACTTCTTGGGACTCAATATTTGCATGAGTAAAAGACTTTGATGTCGAAATGCTTCGTCCTATCATTCCGTTAAGTTCATTTGACTTACCCTCAACTTGATATTGCGGAAGTCTTTCCTTGCCAGCAATTTTTGTCCCATCTTCGATGATGGAGGTCGATGGAGCATGGCTAACTTGTTCTGATGACATCACACTTTCGATGTTGACACACCCGGAGCAAGGCTCTTCACACTCAGGTAGACACCCGGCAGTCGATACCTGAGTGGAAATGGCCTCAGCCCCAGACGAGTGAACATCGTCCGTAGTCTGCTGTTCAGAACAAGTAGGTCCACTTGATGGTAATGGACAGCCATCCTTCCAGACCTCAACATCAGAAGACTGGTTCTCTACACCATGTGCGTCAACAAGAATCAACGTCAGAGGGAGCTTGTTTTCTGAATTTGAATCACTGGATTTGATCTCGCCTCCTTTGTCTGACACGAGAACTGTCTCCACTTCGCTATCCTTGCTTGAATCATCAGGAACAGATTGGTGCTTGCTTTCTACGTCAGACAGAATCTGCACTTCTTTATTATGAGGTTCTGTTGAGATTGGGAGGGAGACGTCAACTGTTGCCTCGTTGCCACCATGAACCAACATCGTAGGAATATATGTATTTGAAGGAACATCGGGTTTGTGTTCGCCTCCTGTGTCATCATGGTGAGATGCTTCCAGTGTTTGGAGAGAGACATCGACAGTTGTTTCGTTTGAAGGTTCACCAATTGTACCAGGCATTGCGTGTGAAGTACTTATCTCAACTTTTGGCAAGTCAAGATCTTTGTTTCCAGTATCGCTTATTTCACCACCAATGTCATGGGGAGAATCATTCACTGAAGTTGTGTCTTCATTTTCAGAAATATTTACATCGTTCATATTAACTTCAGTCTTGCTCGGAACAGCACCACGATGATTACCTAAACATGAATGAAAGGAATATAAATCATTACAAATATTAAAAGAAATATTTAGTATTGTTTTGCTATGAACTGGAAAGCATATTATTCCTTGTATACGGAGTAATCAAAAGCTCTGTAGCACTAATTAACACTAATTGCTTGCGTGCGCGAATGAAATCGCAGTGAAGTTAATGAGATGGTTGCTTAGCAACGGAAAAAATTAATTATCTTGCACATGAAACGTGAGTCAGAAAGCGGTAAAATTGTTAAACATTATTTATAATAAAATAGTTTTAGGTCATAGTGTAATTCTTACCTGTGTTCTCTTCATCGCCGAACAAAGTTTTAAGCTCTGCAACGCGAGCTTTAGTGTCGTTCAAATTTTTCTCGACCGTATCAACCATACCATCGAGAGTTGTTTCCTCTCCATAGATACCGAACTTTAATAATTCCTGGACTGTCTCTTCCTCGGCCTCGTCGCAATTGAAATCCTCGTGATACTCAAATTCAGCCATATTTTTTATACCTATCACAAAAAAGATTTGGAAAATTTCCGCGAGAAATACAACAAGTGCGCAATCTCAGTCAATCAATTATGACAAACTACTTTATGACATCACCAGCGTTTTTATACCTCGCGCAAGAACAAGGGATTGTGGGATATTAATTAGGACGCTGTTTCTGACGTCATTTAATGAAAGCGGAATAAAACTTGCGTAAAACCGGTTTTTCACAGGAAAACTTGTAGTTTGCGTGTTCAAAAGTTTCAACCAAGGGCAAGGATCGTTCGCGTGAGACAAAATTGAAAGAAATAATTAAATTTTATGTCTTTGCCTTCCTGCTTTTCACGAGGTGTTGCATTTAACGAGCTCAGTTTACTGGCAAAACAAAACACTCGACTTGGGATAATTTGGCTGTGAAATTGATTCACAGCCGCTTTATTTAAAATCTCGTCATTTAATTAGAAATATCATAAAATCATTAAAATTGATAATTTGAGTTAATAACTTGAGTCTGTTAATGTTCATTGCCAGTAAAGGTGGCAGGACTACACGCCAATTAGGCAAAAAAGGTATAATAACGATATGTACAAGAAAAGACAACAAACTAAAATACAAAGCGGCAGGCCAGCGGGAGGAGGTGGGAAGAAAATTCGTATGTCTTCACTCGATCGCGAGAAAGGTTGAATTTTTTTTTTTTGAATTGAATTTTTATTTGCCCATATGAAAAAGTTAATATTTACAATCTAAAGTATACAATAAAATATGACGGGCTAGGAGCCTTCATGAAACCCTTTCAGGCTTTTTGTTCAAAGGTCCTTAGTTCTATAATATTTTTACAATTGTTTTATATGGTAAGTTAATCATATATTGTCGAAAGAAAATAGGAATATTTACAAATACAAGTATAAAGTAAGGAAAATTTTAAAGTAAAAGTAATATAATGAGCTAATTGAACAAAGTTTACAGATAATAACAATTAAAGTATATTTTACAAGAAAAATAATTTTGACTTTTTCTTAAAAGTACAATAAAATGTAATACTGCTAATTTCATTATCGAGTGAATTCCATATCTTAACTCCCTTGTTAACAATAGAATGTTTTGCATAATTTGTTCTACTAAAATTTACATGAAATTTGTTAGCATTTCGAGTATTGTAATGATGCACTTCATTGTTCTGTGCGAAGTAGCCATTAAAATATTCAGGTAAGTTTTGTAGACGTTTAAACCGGTACATAAATAAACAACTTAAAAAGTCATTGATCTTAAAGATATTCAAGATCTTTAAGTTCTGAAACAATGGCTCAGTGTGTTCAAGATACGATTTAAAACTTATCAATCTGATAATTTTTTTCTGTATATTCTGTAATTTCTGTAGCCTTGTTGGGTACGTATTACCCCATACTAGATTCCCATAAGATATGGATAAACCAATGCATAATAAATCAACTTAAGTGTATTTTTATTTGTGTAATGTCGCAGTTTTGCTATAAGTGCCGCAGATTTAATTATATGTTTAGCAACCGAATTTATATGGTTTTTCCATGTTAATTCACAATCTAAAATTACACCTAAAAACTTGATATGAGAAGCCTGTTGTATAATGTTATCATTAAGTTTAATATCGATTTCAATGTCGCATTTTTTATTTCTTGATTTAAAAATTATATACTTAGTTTTTGTTGTATTTATAGATAGTTTATTCACGTTTAGCCATTTAATTACTTCATTCATTTCTTCTTGCATAACATGTGTTAATGATTTTAAGCATTTATCAGAGTGAAATGCATTAGTGTCATCAGCATACATAACAAAGGATATAATTTTACTACAGTTTTCAATATCGTTAATATATAACAGGAAAAGTAGTGGCCCAAGAATAGAGCCTTGCGGAACTCCTGTAGATATAATCAATTTGTTTGATTTATGATGACCAAATTTAACAATTTGCATTCTTTCATGTAGGTAGCTTTCAAACCATTTTAGGCAATTTCCTCTTATGCCATAATGTTCAAGTTTTTTTAGGAGAATATTGTGGTTAACTGTATCAAAAGCCTTAGATAGATCAAGGAAAATACCAATTGTATATTTACCATCATCTATAGCTTTTGAAATTTTGTCAGTTAGTTCAATTATAGCATGTTCAGTTGACCGATTTTTTCTGAAACCATATTGATGTTTAGATAAAATATTATGTTTTTCAATATATGAAATTAGTCTTTTATGCATTATTTTTTCAAGTAGTTTTGAAAAACATGTGAGAACTGAAATTGGTCTGTAATTTTCAAACAGGTATCTTTCATTTGCTTTAAAAATAGGAGTAACGATAGCTATTTTTAGTGATTCCGGGATTACTCCGGTATCAAACGTTAAATTGAAAATATGTGCAAGAGGTTTTCAGATTTCTTGTTTTATAGTTTTTATCATTTTGGCACTTATATTATCATGTCCTGCACTTTTATTTGTATTTAAGTTATCAATCTCAGTCAGTATTTCAAGTTCAGTAACAGGCTCAGCAAACATACTCTCTCTATAGTTTCCTTTGAGATATTTTTCAAATGATACTGTATCATTTTTTCGAATACCTTTTGCCAAATTTGGACCAACATTTACAAAATATTCATTAAATTTGTTAGCAATTACGGTTGGGTCAGAAAAAATAATATCTGAGTTCTTTTGTTGAAACACGTGAGAAAGTTTTTCCTTCTTTTTATTTCTATTCAGTAGTTTATTTATTGTTTGCCATGTCATTTTGCTATTGTTTTTGTATTTAATAAATTGATTTTCAAAGTAATCTTTTTTACTAATTTTAATTAAATGTTTTAATTTATTTTTGTAATTTTTGTAAATAGTTTTGTTCTTTTCACTTGGGTTTTTTAGACACTTTTTATAGAGTCTGTTTTTAATTCCAATAGACTTAGAAATACCTTGAGTCATCCAAGGGCTTTTATCGTAATTAATTATATTTCGTTTTTGCCGTTTTACTAAAGGAAAGCTTTTATCAAACGCTTGTATTAGTTTATTATGGAAATTCTTGTATGATTCAGAGGGGTCATTGTCTTCAACAATAGTATCCCATGATATATCTTTCACAGAATTAGAAAATAATAGAAGACTGGCATTATTGACTATTCTTTGATGTTGCGAAGTTTCAACTTTAGAACTGTACATTTTCGTTGGGAAAGATGCAATATGAAAAACTGGAAGATGATCTGATATATCACTAAAAACTAATCCATTCTTACTGGATTCAATTTGTTCTAGATCATTAGTGAATATATTGTCAATTAATGTTGCGGTATGTTCAGTTATCCTAGTTGGTCTTGTAATAAGAGGCAAAAATGATGACGTAAAAAGTTGCTCACTGAATCTATTCGAAAAGTCACAACTTTCAGTTTTTAAGAGGTCAATGTTAAAATCGCCCATTAAGTAAGTTATTTTTTTTGACTTATCAATTTTAGTAAGAATTTTGCTTAAATTCGTTTCAAATATTTCAAACTTTCCTTTTGGTGGTCGATAGATCGTGCCAACAACAATATTTTTGCCAACTGTTGTAATTATTTCAACGAAGAGCGATTCAATTATTCCCTCTTCGTTGAAATTAAGGTCAGGACGAAGTTTGAAATTTATATCATCAGAAATAAACATTCCAACTCCTCCGCCTTTTTTATTGTTTCTGTTTGAGCTAATGAAGCTACAATTTTCTAACTTAAAATCTGTATAGTTTTCATCATCAAGCCATGTTTCTGTTAAACTAATTATCGAAAATGAGTATTTAAGTGATTCTAACAAAAATTTGAAAGAGTCAAATTTGTTTACTATACTTCTTATGTTTAAATTCAAAATAGAAAATAGGTTATTATTACTATTTGGTATGTCACGCGAAACATCATTTGGAAGGTAGTATTTGCATGTAATATTATCAATGTTAGGAAGCATGTTGTTGTCGTAATCAACATTATCAGTAGTTGTGTGTGCGTTATCAAAAGGGTTAAATTTAAGTTGCATCAATCTATCCATATCCTCATCACTGGGGAGTCGAGAAAAATCTCCAAAAGTAAAATTAAAGTTTATATCATCTATTGAGCTAAAAGGTAGCGAGTCGCTTAAGCACAAGTGGCATGTTTCGATTTCCGTTTGTTGACATGTGAGAGGCGATTTAATGCAGATATTCTTAGCATGAAACCACCTCCCACACAGCACACAAACAATGCCGCGTTTATCAATGGCTATTTCACAAAAACATGCAGAGCATATTTTTTTGCTCATGTTTATAGAAGCCATTTAATTTTTTAATCAATTAGATAATAAAATGCGTACTAAATATAATTGAGCGATAATACCTTTAATTATTATGGGGAATAAACTCCACATTGTTAATATAAAGTTTATCACGAACCAAACGCACTCTCTGCTTTGCCGCCTTTGCTCTCCTCATCTCAGGGTAGAGGGTTTGACGCACTTTTTCAATCTCTTCGGGAAACTGTTCGGAGATACCGATCTTTGTTCCCCTTAATTTTTTCGCATTGAACCGAATTTTCTCCCGATCGGGGAAAAAATTAAATTTTGCAACGATGGCTCTCGGTTTTCTGCGGCCATCGCGTTTCCTACCAACTCTGTGCGCTTGATCGATCTTGATGCTGCTTCTTGCAGTTAACCATGTCATTTCTTTTAATATACTACCGTATATGTAGACGTTCATATCTACGTGGCATATCAATCACTATATTATGCTAATTAAAGGAACTATTTCAACTACAGCAGGAATACGTTATTACTATACAGACCATTTTTGTAGAACCTACAACTGAACGGAACATCATAATGTGCTGTTTTGTATAGGTAGCTTACTCCGAGTCCATTTCACAGAAACCCCATTCATTATCTTTATCGTAGTTGACTGTAGTAGCGCACCATAATCTATTTTCGTATACCGTTGTACATGAATGATACCATTCCTGATCGTAATAGAATGGGAAAACACAACAATCCCCCGATATGGTTTTCTGGGAAAGAACGATTGTTCTAATAGTGGAAATGTATGTAAAACCAATCTAAACAGCTGGGATGGGGGGGAGGGCAGGAGTAGCGCTTTCCATATAAAATATTTATGCGCTTTAAATGAGGTATATCGTGTAAAAGATATTACGCAAAAAAAAGTTGAAAGAGATGTTTAATTAATTAAAGGGCCTTTGTACTTACTCGAAAAAGAGCATCTGATATGACACGTTTGTATTTACGATTGCCAAACTCTTGCAACTAATTTAATCTTTTAACTGAATGTTAAAATTAGTGCCATAACAACCTTTTGATAGATTGTTAACTTTCTGCATATGTTTATGTATATTGCATCTACTGCTTACCTTGGGCGAATTTACAATATCCACATTTTCCATCATCATCGTTATTACTTGTGGTTGCACACCATAATTCATTTCTACTCATAACTGTTGTACATGATTCATACCAATTCTGATGATAACAGAATGGGAAAACACAACAATCCACTGATGTTGTGTTCACTGTGCAGTTAGTTCCTGGAAATTTTGAAATATCAATTAAGTCTAATATTAACTCAAAACGTCAATGTTGACACCATGACACAAAGAAGACCACGAGATGCCATGTAATAAACGGCTCCTTAAGTAACGTACATCTTAAAACGGTTAAGGTAATTACTTAACACACAATCAAAGGCTTACATCCCGTCAAAGTGGCAGAGCGGTGTGAACATTTCGCGAAGTGCCGCCACCGGAAGCGATTCCTCCCGGGAAAGTTTGAACGTGCGAACGCTGTGCCATCACGCGTATAATTCAAACATAAGTCCAACGTCATCATACGGAAGATTCAACCGTCACTTGTAACACCGTCACCTGATGATCGCACTCGATCAGCGTGAAACTCAGAGTTGTGACTCAATTTCAAGTCAAAATACTATTTGCTCTGTTAAATTTTTGATGTTGAGCACTCTTTTTACACTATATAATTGAAATATTATATATATATATATATATATATATATATATATATATATATATATATATATATATATATATATATATATATATGTTAGTTGTGTAATTGTACACTCTGTAATGTGTTAAGATGAAAATGTTCTAGAGTGTGTATTATATAATTTCCATACCCAGCGCAAGCAGAAAGATGTTTTCTGCCTCGGTTGGGTCTCGAACCCGCGACCTTCGAATTACTAGATCGACGCTCTAACTACTGACCTACACGGTCAGACGGATTTAAGACTGGAAATTATGAAATAGATACTGAATGTCATAAACATACTCTGTTTATATTAATTCAGCATAGAACAATACTAGTTCTGCAAGTGTTATGTTAGTTGTGTAATTGTACACTCTGTAATATATTAAGATGAAAATGTTCTAGAGTGTGAATTATATCATTTCCATGCCCAGTGGACCTTCGAATTACTAGATCGACGCTCTACCTACTGAGCTACACGGTCAGACAGATTTAAGACTGGAAATTATGAAATATATACTGAATGTCATAAACATACTCGTTTACACTAATTCAGCATATGCTCGTTTATATTAATTCATCGTTTATATTAATTCAGTAGGTACAGCGTCGATCTAGTTATTCGAAGGTCGCGGGTTCGAGACCCAGCCGCGGCAGACAACATCTTTCTGCTTGCGCTGGGTATTGAAATTATATAATACACACTCTAGAATATTTTCATCTTAATATATATATATATATATATATATATATATATATATATATATATATATATATATATATATATATATATATATATATATATTTATATATATTAATTAAGGTACAACAAATCAACAAAATCAACTAGGCATCTTTATTACTAAATAGTTTCGTACCACAGTATGTGGCACTCTTCAGATAAATTGACCTAAGTCAATAGATCTTTAGGTCAATTTATCTGAAGAGTGCCACATACTGTGGTACGAAACTATTTAGTAATAAAGATGCCTAGTGGATTTTGTTGATTGTTGTACCTTAATTTAAATATGCTCTGGTTTTCCATTGAGCACTTTACCAAAAGTTTTTATAACCAACGAAACCAAATCTTATATATATATATATATATATATGGAGCAAAGTGTAATATTCTATTTACTTAGAAAAATGGCAAATACACCTCATACGAAAAAAATGTCCACAAATGTAAAATCTCATAATATCCTATGCTAAAAGTTGGTGAAATTTTGGTGTAATTTTGCCAAAAAATATTACGTGTTGCAAAAAAATGCAAAAAAGATCAATATTTTCAGTAGGTTTGAGTGTGATAAAACTAAAGAAGATATCCATAGTTGGTTTGGATAAATCCACACCAACATGAAAAGACACTAAATAGGTCATTTTTCAAAGCACATTCACCGACATGTCGAGACCACATTTGCACAGGGTGGATAAATTAGGAATATTTTGAAAAAATATTAATAGTTGGATTGTATAAATCAACGCCAACATGAAAAGATACTAAAAAGGTCATTTTCTAAAGCAGATGTCACCGACATGTCGAGCCCACATTTGGACATGGTGGCTAAATTAGGAATATTTTTCAAACATATTAATAGTCGGTTTGGATAAATCCACGCCAACATGGAAAGATACTAAAAAAATTATTTTTCAAAACAGATGTCACCAACATGTCGAGACCACATTTGCACATGGTGGATCAATTAGGAATATTTTGCAAACATGTTAATAGTTGGCTTGGATAAATCCACGCCAACATGGAAAGATACTAAAATGGTCATTTTTTAAAGCAGATGTCACCGACATGTCGAGACCACATTTGGACATGGTGGATCAATTAGGAATATTTTGCAAACATGTTAATAGTTGGCTTGGATAAATCCACGCCAACATGGAAAGATACTAAAATGGTCATTTTCTAAAGCAGATGTCACCGACATGTCGAGACCACATTTGGACATGGTGGATAAATTAGGAATATTTTGCAAACATATCAATAGTCGGTTTGGATAAATCCACGCCAACATGAAAAGATACTAAAAAGGTCATTTTTCAAAGCAGATGTCACCAACATGTTGAGACCACATTTGCACATCGTGGATAAATTAGGAATATTTTCCAAACATGTAACGTTAATAGTTGGCTTGGATAAATCCACAACGCTTGGCTTTTTTTCTTCAGAAACGTCCAGTTCGTTTTTGCTGTATAAGAAATTCTTCAATATTGATGCTTCTTCTACGATAATTTGCACTTGTATAGAACATATCATTTCTGACAATCTGATGTTTTTTGTTTTGGGAATTGTTACATTTTTGGCGGGAAAATAATGCGACAAAATTTGCGACAAAATTTTATTTAATAGATACAGCTGATTTTGTGAATGAACCTGAAAGAGTATAGTATAAGATCCTCAAATATGAAGTCCGTTTCGAATTATGACTATTCATTACGAAGTTATATCAATTCAAAGTACAAGAAATCCGCCATTTTGTTCTATTTTTAGAAACAAAATGGCGAATTTTCGAAATTCGACTAGCTATATCTTCGCAATGAATTGGGCCATAACAAAACGGACTTCACATTTGAGGTTCCTACCGTATGCTCTTTCAGATTTATTCAGAAGAGAACCTATATCTACCGGGTGTCCCAAAAAATTTGGACATGGTCGATAAATTAGCAATATTTTGCAAACATATTAATAGTCTGTTTGGATAAATACACGCCAACATGAAAAGATACTAGAAAGGTCATTTTTCAAAGCAGATGTCACCTACATGTCGAGACCACATTTTCACCTGGTAAATAAATTAGGAATATTTTGCAAACATGTTAATAGTTGGCTTGGATAAATTCACCCCAACATGAAAAGATACTAAAAAGGTCATTTTCTAAAGCAGATGTCACCGACATGTCGGGACCACATTTGGACATGGTGGATAAATTAGGAATATTTTGCAAACATATTAATAGTCTGTTTGGATAAATACACGCCAACATGAAAAGATACTAGAAAGGTCATTTTTCAAAGCAGATGTCACCTACATGTCGAGACCACATTTTCACCTGGTAAATAAATTAGGAATATTTTGCAAACATGTTAATAGTTGGCTTGGATAAATTCACCCCAACATGAAAAGATACTAAAAAGGTCATTTTCTAAAGCAGATGTCACCGACATGTCGGGACCACATTTGGACATGGTGGATAAATTAGGAATATTTTGCAAACATATTAATAGTCTGTTTGGATAAATACACGCCAACATGAAAAGATACTAGAAAGGTCATTTTTCAAAGCAGATGTCACCTACATGTCGAGACCACATTTTCACCTGGTAAATAAATTAGGAATATTTTGCAAACATGTTAATAGTTGGCTTGGATAAATTCACCCCAACATGAAAAGATACTAAAAAGGTCATTTTCTAAAGCAGATGTCACCGACATGTCGGGACCACATTTGGACATGGTGGATAAATTAGGAATATTTTGCAAACATATTAATAGTCTGTTTGGATAAATACACGCCAACATGAAAAGATACTAGAAAGGTCATTTTTCAAAGCAGATGTCACCTACATGTCGAGACCACATTTTCACCTGGTAAATAAATTAGGAATATTTTGCAAACATGTTAATAGTTGGCTTGGATAAATCCACCCCAACATGAAAAGATACTAAAATGGTCATTTTCTAAAGCAGATGTCACCGACATGTCGGGACCACATTTGGACATGGTGGATAAATTAGGAATATTTTGCATCCCCAATACCCATAAAATATTATTCATTATCCACACAAATCTTTATACCATAAACCTCTGACTATAACTGGGCTTGCAGTATATACTTTCATAGGCAATTTTTGATGGGCTTATACAAGGGAGGGGGGGGAGGGGTTATGCATGGACAATATTTTGTATTTATAAACAAGTCGGGCATAAACAGGAAAATAAAGTAACAATGTTACTAACATGTATCAAGCAGCATCACTGGGCTTATATTAATTTGGGGGACTTATATTTGGGGTGTGTGTTATATTCGGGGGCCTTATGTTTGGAATGTGGTGAGCGTTAGACTTGTGGTGGGCTTATACATGTATATATACATTCATGAACTTGTGGTTAGAGCTTGCTCAGAGCGATGCACCAGAATGGTAGGACAGCAGGTATAATTCCTGCCAGAGACCTAAAATTGCATTTTTCGCTTCTGTTGTAGCTATATGTCTAATAAATGTAGGTGAAAACTGTATTATACTCAATACTCATTGAATGTACAATACTCATTGAATATTATTCATTCAAGCGAGATGCCACAAAATTCTTTATATACATGGCAGTATGCTAATATATACATACCGGTTCATAAACTTGTGGTTAGAGCTTGACAACTGGCCTTTGTAGCTCAGTTGGTCAGAGAACTGCACTGGAATCACAGGGCAACAGGTTTAATT